GCAGTTCAGAAACAATACCCAAGCCAACCACAAAGCTGAGTTTCAAAATTCATGTATTATTATCGTGAAAAAAAACCCAACAGGAAAAGGTTTAAGAAAAATTGGTCACAAAGTTCAGAAATGCAGTTATCATATGACATGCTAGGAGGTCATTCTTTATAGCTTCAATGTAACTTTTGTTTTTATCCTTACACTCCTTTAAGGTGATAACAGGAAAAAAGAAAATCAAGGGTGGTAATATCTTATCTCTTTTGCAACCACCAAACAAAAGGACAACTTTTTTTTATCCGGAACTGCTCGCGGGTCCTGGGACAGACTTGATTATTTTATTAATGAAGTGGCGGGAAAAGCCATATAACAAATGAGTACAAGGGGAAGAAATATTGCTTAATCGCAAAGATCACAATAATTGACACGACCAAAGGACTTTTCTGAGGCATGTAAAAAAGCCAAGGATATTATAGAAACTGTCCTAGAGGAAAACAAAATATAACATGCCATAAGAAAATTCCAACTGAAGGAAATATATAGTCAATGTGATGGACACCAAGAAAGGGCAACCCAAAAGGAAAAAAAGACATCTTTTTGCTTAAATATCCACAAACTATGAAAGGGAAAATGACAGACCCAAATAAGGAATAGTTAAAACGCAGAAACATCAGACACCTATCAGTACAATAGCAACCACCATACACTTACACTTTCCAGTCTTAGATTAAGATCCTGGAATCTCTTTTCTGCTTTGCTAAACCGAGATTCCAAATCCTTTTTCTTCTTGGCTTGGGATTCAATCTCATTCTTAAGTTGCAGGATCTGCACCAACCAAAAGATAACAATAATAACGATAATAATTAATAATGCCACCCTATTAAAATCTCTATCATTTACCGTTCTGTACCTGCTTCTCGAGTTCCCCAACCCAGCCGTCAGCCTTCCCGGCCAGTTTCTTACCATCAAGAGCACCCTTTAAATAACATAAAACAAATACAAAAGTTAATACACCCCCTACAGTTTATATAAACTAGTATTCAGAAATTTGTGAGTCCCACCTGAAGTGATTCGACCTCACTCTTAAGGAATTCAATGCTTAACGATTTCTCTTCAATAATAGCATGCAGTTGTGCAATGCTGTCTTCTTTGGTTTTTAGTTTGCGGAAACTCTCCTCAATTTTAGATTCTTCAGTGAAAAAATACAGCATTAGTAAACTACTAAAACTGAGAATGAAAGCATTATTATCTATCATATGCCAAAAAGAATTAAACAGTAGATGATCTGGGAAGCATAAGAATGGAATCGACCTTCAATAGGAAATACAGAAAACAACAACTTTTTCAAACATTGCTTCTATAGAGATTGATACTCGATTCGAAATTAACATTTACACACGCATTGCACGTGTCAGAACCGCATCTAAATAGAACCCAAAAAAGGCCAAAAGATCATTTTGGTTTTTGTACTAGGGCTCCATTACTCAGATTGGTCCTCGTATTTTTTACCCCTAACATTTGATCCCCGTACCTTAACTCGGTTACAAACTAAGTCCTTTTTTGACATCTGTTAACAATTGGGTGTTAAATTCTTGTTTATGACCAAATTACCCTCAATGTCAAAAATCTTTTTTTTAAGTTAAAATTTTATTTGTTGTTCAAACTCAAGGGAACTCCTTTCTCAATTGGCGATATGATTCTTTCCAATGCATTGTGTGTCAGCTCCATCCTTCTTATTCCCTAACTAACTTTTATCCATGTCCTGCACTGATCTTGTTAAGTACCTACCTGATGACAACGTTATACACGCTGTGAAAGTTCATTCTTGATTATAACTCAATAAATTAGAACTTTGATCTATTTCCCATTACCATAGCTCAATATATAAAAGACAAGGGTATAACAGCTGATGTCCATAGAATTCCCTTAGGCATCAGAGTCATTCATTCCTTCTTTAGAAAAATCTAAGCTTTTACAAGGGGGCAAAAAAATCTCAGATTAGGTTTTTTTTTATCTCAGTTTAGGGTTCTTTAGTCCTTGCGTTGTTTCTCGTACACGCTTAGTATTTTTCTAAAAGGACTCGTATGTCTGAAGATTTGGTTAGTACTTTTCTCAAAGGACTCATATGTCTAAAAATTTGGATGGATCTATTAGTTTAGTCAATATGGGTTATTTATATTCCTTAAAATAGTATAATCCTTTCAAATTATATACAACACAAAATAGGGACTAAGCTTATATATAACAAGAGGTACAATGACTAAGTTGAGAAAATAAAGCATAAAGACCAATTTGATTATTATGAAGCCCTGGTAATGAGACCAAAATGGCAGTTTAGCCAAAAAAAAGAAAGCTTTCCAAATACCCTTAAAACCCTAGAAACTTGAGATCGACTCGAATCAAAACCCTAATACAGAAATACGGTCATAAAACACACCAATTACAGTACTAACCAAGAGTCGAGATCTCGGATCGCAGCCCATCTAACTGCGATCTCAGCCCAGATCGCGCCGCCTCAGGTTCCTCGATCTCTCCTGAGATCGAAGACTCCGATCTAGCTCTAAAGATCAAAAGAGCAATGGCAATCGAAGCCAGGAGAAGCTTCGAATTCGCCATTACTATTTTTCTTTCTTTCTTTCTTTATTCTCTCTCACGACTCTCAAGTAAGAGAAGAAAGCGGGAGACGACGGGAGGAAATAAAAGAGACCAGAAGCTTTATAGTTCGTGTTTTCGGAGATTAACGGTCAGATTTGTGAAACGTGGCATTAGAGCTGCCGTCGATGTCCGACGGAATCTCTTGGGTTCGTATATGAAGAGAGCGTGAGACATCGTGGGCTGTTGAGCATCTGATTGATATCGGACGAATTTATTAGTTTTGGTTGGTATTGCCATGCCATAGTGAGATTCTTAAAGGAATGGCTTAATTGTACTTAAATACCCTATAGTTTCCATTGCTACGCATTTACATACCCGCACTTGCTTTTAGTGGCATTTACTTATCCTCAAGTTTTTAAAATATGGACTTAGATACCCTCAGCTTGTTTTGTCATCATTCATATACCCTAAAGTTTTAAAGTGAACACTTAAATATCTTAAAAATTTTAAAACTTACACTTAAACATCCTCAGTTCTGCAAAATTATGGGCATTTAATTACAAGCTTTAAAACTTTTGGATATTTAAGTGCGTATTTTTAAAATTTTAGGATATTTATGCGCATGTTTTAAAAACTTTAGGATACATGAGTGCTGCCAAAAATAAATAAGAATATATAAGTACAAGTTTTAAAATTTGTAGGATGTATAAGTTCTACCGAAAAACAAGTGAGGATATATCAGTGCAAAGTAGAGGAAATTATAAGACATTAAGTGCAATAAAAATTGAGGGCGTGTATAGAGTATTGCATATGTGCATGATGAGCAGTGCACGTCTCAATGAAGTAATGTTGGTTGGTTGTGTTTGGGCCTTTATTATGATTCCATGCACAACAGAATCTCCATAAATGTTTATTTTGATATTTGATGATAATATATTGTTGTAATAATATTTGAAAACAATTTTTAGGTACATGTGGTTGTAGAGTATTTATGGAATCGAAGAACAGTTCTACTAGATGTTAATAATAATTTATGAGTCAGAATGTCAAGACACATTGGGCGATTTGAAAAGAGAAAATGATAGGAGAGGAAGAGAGTGTGATAGAAATAATGGTGTTTGGATAGATAATTAAGAGATGGAGAGATACGGCTGTCTATTTGGCCCGTCGGCTATAAAAATTGTCTTAACAACAGGAAGATAGAAAAATCCACCTGTATGAGTACGCCCGCACCCGAAGGAACCGGACAAGCTCGCTTTAATCATCGAGCCCACCATCAAGAGCTCGATTCCGCCTACATGCTTGACTCTTGTCAACACGAGTCAAGTCCACTCAAGAAATAAGTTTGCCAGCACAAATGAAACTCGCCCTCGTTCTTGACCCGTCAGCACGAGCCAAATCCAAATTCTCCTGCACGACCAGACGATCAAAAACTCGCCTTCATACCTGACTCGCATGCACGAGTCAAGTTCATTCAAGCGCTGAGCTCATCTGCACGTCCAGGCAATCAGCCAGACGATCAACAAATTCACCAAACGCGCTAGAGTACTAGGCGGCTGCGCTGTCACGTACAAGGATGGGCCTTCCCATTTCTCGCGACATGAAGGGGAAGAGTACAGTGCTCCGAGCCTATCAAGCAGCTGCTCATAGTACAAGTGAGAGACATGGCATCTCTCAACAGTTCATGGTCACATCCTATGATTCAAGAGAGTGACCATGCCGTCTCTTCCCTATTTAAAAGCCTCTCCTGGCTACGAGAAAGGGGTTGGCAATTCGTTGAGTTGACTCAGTCAGTTAGCTGGTTTGTTAGCTCTCAACCCTCAATTGAATTGACGACCTACTCTTTGCATTGCTCTTGCACTGTAGCATCTTTCTTCAGCCTTCGGCCTCGATCGCCATCAAGCTCAGGAACTCGAACTCGACCGACACGAGCTTCTACTGCGTACTGAAGCTCGCCTGCAACTTTGTTAGACCCTAGAGGGGGATGATTAGGGTCTATTGCTAATCTAATCTGATTTTATGCCAATTAAAGCTTATTAACAAGTTATCCTAGCAAGTATGAAATACAACAAGATATGTGAGCTAGGATAAGCAATATGAACAATGAGATATATCCTATATGATAAAAATATATGCAAGGATATATAAACTAACACAAGGGTGAAATAAACATAAACAAGATAAGAGTGATAGTGTAAATAAATAATGCAAACACACAATATGATCACGGAGTTCGGACCTTCCGTCCTACGTCTCCGCTTCCTACTCCCAGGGAGAAATCCACTATCACAACCGGGTTTTCTACGTTCACCCGAATAACGTTTACACCTCACACTCGGTTTTCTAGCTAACCGAAAACTTTACAATCAACACTCTTGCAACCCCACTCTACACTCTCTCAAGTGTTGGACCTAGACGTGTCTCCCTCAAGTGCTCGGATACAACCTCTCCCTAGGTTCGTCAACCGATGCCACTCCTCTTGGGACGATCCCCAACTCACACCACACACTTCTCTCGGTGTACAAGTATATTACAAAGTGATCTCACAATTAAGGCTCACAAATACAAATATGTTCTCTACAACAGATGAGAACTCAATTAAGCTCACTTTCAATTGTTACAACTCCTTACAACCTAATTATACAATGTATGCAAATACAATAAGCTCAATGGTTGTGTGTGTAAGCAATGAGAAAATCAATCATAAACTCAATGTAAACCCTAGCTTAATGAAAATGATAAATAACAAAGAATTAATATAAAGCTAGTATTGAGTTTATGAATTCTTCTCTGAAAAATGAGATGGAGAGATGGATTAAAATGAAGCCCAAAGAATGTAGATGATCTCCTCCACTTGTGAAACAGTCTTCACAAACCAAACTCTTTTAAAACACACTAAACAAACTTTAAAACATTCTTAAACTTGTTTAAAACTTTCTCAAGTGGTTTTTTGGTAGAAGAGGGTTTGAGGGGTTTATATAGGAAGAGAAACCAACAGCCAAAACCCCAAACAAAACAACAAAAATCCCAGAGAATCAGAAATTTGATTCTGTACCTAATATAGCCGTTGGGTAATCAGCGATCGACCGTGGAAAACTCGTGGTCGACCGCGAGCAACAAAAAAGGCAAAACTGGGCTCTGGAAAAACATCCGGTCGACCGTGACGGTCGACTGCAAAACTCTCTAGACTTCATCCGGTTGACCGTCACGGTCGACCACGAGCCATCAAAAAACATCCTGAGTCTCTGGACTCAAGGGCGGTCGACCGTGGCGGTCGACCGCAAACTGATATATGAAAAATCAGGATTATAAACAGTTTTCTGATTTTAAAACCCTGTTTAAAAATATCAAATAAATTCTAAAAAATATAAAACTTTAGAAAATGATTGTATACATTATAATACACATGCTACAAAAACTAGTTTTTAGAAAAGACATCCCAAATAAAAAATATCATTATTTTGTAAAATAGTCCAAAACATGAAAATGTGAACAAATGAGTTTTAACATTTTAGCTTAACCATGTTTTGAAACAATACAAAATGATTTTATAGACTTAATAAAAGATGTTTATGATTATTGTTAAGTCCAAAAACTGAGAATATAATATTTTCACAAATATAATAGAATATGAAATATATGGGTATGTATATGAATATATATTTGTTTCATATCTATGAAATTAAACCAAACCAACTTATTCACGTAAAAACAAACATGTATGAATATAAATATTTATTTATATGCTTGTTAAAAACTTTGTTTGTGGATAAACCAAAATCCAAAATGTATATATATATATATATATATATATATATATATAAATATATATATATATAGGAAAAGTGAATCTACAGGTGATACCCTAGGCTCCCCTAAGGACACGCCTAAATCACATCATTCCGTAAATATTTTTTTAGCGATCCGCTCCGTTGAACTTGATCTACACGTTCTTAAACTCAACACGACCAATTTTGGGGTGAACCCGTCGTGTTTTAACCATTCGTTGAGTCGTCCAAAAAGTTCTATTCGTTCGAAACGCGTTAAAATTACGGCGAGTGGATGAAGGGTCAAACACGACGGGTTCACCCCAAAATTAGTATGTTTAGGTTTAAGCACGTGTAAATCAAGTTCAACGGAGCGGATCGTAAAAAATATTAGGGAATGATGTGATTTTAGGCCGCGTCCTTTAGGTGGGAGCGCTAGGGTGTCACTTAGATTCACTTTTCCTATATATTATAATATATATATATAATATATATATATATATATTATATATATATATATATTATATATATATATATATATATATATATATATATAATATATATATATATATATATATATATATATTATATATATATATAATATTATATATAATATATATATATATATATAATATATATATATTTATATATATATATATATATACATATATATATATATATATACATATATATATCGAGAAAATGGTGTAACTTTGTACAATGGATCCTTGGTAAGTGAATGTGGCACATCTTGTCCATACTATCACCCTTGAAGAGGGAGGCCTCACAACTTCAAGTGTGTGTATGGACAAGATGTGTCCACAATCAGCTACAAGGATCCTTGGCCGCAGTATACTCATATCCTCATATATATACTATATATATACATATATATAGTATATATATATATATATAATATATATATTAATATATATATATATATATTAATATTATATATATAATTATATATATATATATATATACTATATATATATATATAGTATATATATATATATATATCTATATATATATATATACATGTATAATATATATATACTGTATATATATGTATGTATATGTATATATAATGTATGTATATATATTATATAACCATAAAAATGTGTGTGTACTAGTGATTTGAGGCTTAAAGTACTGTAGCTCATATATATATATATATATAAAAAACGCAATAAAAATATCGTGTGTATATGATATGAGCTTAAGTACTTAGGCTATATATAGTATATATATATATATATATATATATATATATATTATTATATAATATATATATTAAAAAATTATAATTAATATTATATATATATATATATA